GGGGGGGGGGGTCTGCGCCCCTTCCCCAGCAGCCCTGACTGCGACCTCTACCCGCCTCCAGTTCTCCTGCGACTCACTCGACGCAGTGGTCAACTATTTCGTGACACGCACCAAGAAATCGCTGGTGCCCTTCCTGCCAGACGAGGACTATGAGAAGGTGCTAGGTGAGTGCGGCCTCAGGGAGCTCCGGGAACCCAGTACGTGCCTCTCCCTCCCCTGCCCCCACGGGGCACCCCTGGATCAACCCCCAGCCGCCGCGCCTCCTCTAGGACCACTCTCTGTTCCAGGCTACATGGAGGCGGATAACGAGAACGGCGAGAGTGTGTGGGTGGCACGCGAGGCCCCCGCGTCCCGAGGCCCAGGTGATGCCCCCGCCCTGCAGCCACCGCTGGGCCATAGTGCAGAGAGACCTGGGACCCACATGGCGCCGCCCGTGTCCAGTCTTGGACCCAGAGTTACAAGGACCCAGAAGTTACCCAGACCCTGCCCTCCGGGTTGTGGAAGGGGGGACAGAGCTGGACACACTTCCAGCCCTGTGGGGTTGAACCTGGGGCTGAAGACAGCGGTGCCTAGAGTTGGGGAGAGAAAGGGGGGGAGGCTTCCTGGAGGAGGCGGTGTTTGCTTAAGGCCTCAAAGGATTTCAGTAGGTTGAGATGGGCAATGGAGGGGGACGGAGGGTTCACCTGGAGCGACATCTACCCAGAGATGGGAACCGGGGTGGCTATTGAGAAAGGGGTGGGGGGGGGGGGGATCCCGTTTACAAGGTGGGAAGAAGATGCTAGGAAGGCCTCTGGGCTGAGCAGACGCTGGGGGCCCCTTGTGCACAGTGGGCATGAATGTGCACACATACACACGTGAACACTCACAAATACGAATTGCGTCCACCTGCACAAGCAGCTCACGTGCAGACACGTGCACGGACAAGGGCTCCGCACATGGCACGAGTACTCGTGTCACACGATTACCGTCCCGTGTGGCACACATACACATACCTTAAGCCACAATCACGTGTGTGGACACGAATGCTCACTGGCGAGCACAAATTTGGACACGTATAGGCACGTGGGTGCACACGCTAACATAGACAAATACTAGCACCCTCACGGTGTCAGGCACGTATCCACGCATTCAGGTGCGCGTACAAACCCTCTGCCTGTATTCAACTATGCAAATTCACTCGGTGTGCCAGATTATGCGACACAGGGACACAGACACCGACTCCTGGGTGAGCGTGTGTAAGAACCACGCACGCACAGGGTCACACGCGTGAATCTGGCAACTGCGTTTCTCACCAGGTCCTGCACCCCCCTCGGGTGGCCCCAGGCAGCTGCCTCCCGTGCCCGTCACACCCGTGTCGAGCCCGAACAAGCTCACCCCACTCCCGAACGAGGATGAGAACTACGTGATCCCCATCGCACACACCCCAGCCGCCACCTACATGAACGGGGACGGTAGGTGGGGGCGGGGGGGAGACGGGGACAGGGGAGGAGGCTGAAAGGTAGACGTGACGTGACGTGCCACACCTTTGTCCACGCAGTGCCTTCCCCTAGTCGGCCGGTCATCTGGAAGCCCAAGAAGGTGGCAAAGGTTCAGGCAAAGCCTCCAAAGCTGCCAAAGCCACCCGTTGCGCCCAAGCCAGGTAGGGGTCCCGCCCCCAAGCTCTTCCCTTGTCCGGTGGAGAGCCGGCCTCAGTCCCTCCTCTGCCCCCTCCTCCAGAGCCCCAAGGCCTCAACGGCGGCCTGGCCAAGAAACTGGCGGGCAACTCAGCGCAGGCTTTCTCTCCCACGACAGGTGAGGCGTTTGGGGGTCCGTGCGGCCGGTGACCCGTGCTGTCACGCGGGACCCACACTCCGAAGGGCCCCACGCTTGGCTTAACGCTGTGCGGTCTTGAAACCCCTCAAGGCTTTTGAATAGATTTTCATTTTTCACGGGGCCCACAGATTCTGCGGGTGGGGTGGGGGGACAGCGTGGGCTGGGGACCCCTGATGCGGCTGAAGTCCCCCCGCCCCCCCCACCAGGCCTGGCGGATTTGACCGCCGAGCTGGAAGAGAAACTGCGGAGGAGACGGGCGCTGGAGCACTCGGCCAGACACGCTGGGGACCTGTGAGCCAGAGAGGCGGACCCCTCCTCCCAGAATAAAAGCTCAAGTGACCCCAGGGCCTCTGCGTCTGGCCTGGGGGGGGGGGTGGCGGGAGGCAGTGGGGGTCTGGTAGACGTCTGCCCACAGCTGGCCCCTCTTAGCAAAACCTGCCGCCCGGCCCTATAAGAGAAGCCCACTTTACAGCCAGGAAAACCGAGGTCCAGAAAGGTTTGGGGCACACTCAGTGCCACCCAGCCCCAAAGAACCATCAGCACGGCCTGGCCAGTGATTGACCTTTATTAGGACGCGAGGTGGGGAGGAGGGCCCGCCCCGGGGCCCGCCGCTCCCCAGTGGTGTCCCCCGCAGGAGTTAAGGCTCCAAGCAGCAAGAGAGGAGAGGGTGCTGGCTGAAACAACCGAGGCCTGGGAGGGCCCCCCTCTGGATCAGCCGGGCGGGGTGGGCGGTCCAGGGGCCTAGGTGAGGCTAGTGTTAGAGCTGCTGGTGGCACTGCCCCGCTTCTGCAGGCAGCGCACGGAGCTGGGGACCTGCAGGCCGGTCGTCACCTGGAAACTACCGCACCACACCTGGGGCACAGGGGGAGGGGGGCAGTCGGGCTCAGGAGCAAAGCCGGCACCCGGCGGCACCCCGCCCCCCCCCCCCCCCCCCCCCCCCCCCCGCCATCCCCTCCACGGAAGGGTTCTCACCGTGAAAGCGGGCAGCAGTGGCTGTGTGAACTTGGCCTTGAAAGTGTGCAGCAGCTGTTTGGTCCGGGCGTTGTAGAAGGACAGGAGGCCTGGGACGGAGGCAGAGCGACAGGGGGACCGATAAGGGGATCGTGGCAGAGGCGGGACGGGGAGAGGCGGCTAGAGACGCGGCCCGGGGCGCGGGGGTCACCTTGGTGGAAGTCACAGTGCACGCCCAGGCAGTCGGGCACGGGGGCGTCCAGCACCTTGGCCTTGTTGGCGTGCTTGGCGGTGAAGCTGGCCTGCAACCAGTTGTTGACGTGCAGGCACCAGGACGCGGCCGTCTTGCCCAGCTGCTCGAAGCGGCCCAGGCTGCGGTACGCCACCCCCACGCCGAACGCCTTGCTGTCCGGCTCGAAGCGCACCTCCCAGTAATGCTCCCCGCCGTCGATCAGCGTGTCCCCTGTGGGGCGGGGTGGAGTCGGGTCCCGGGTGGCCTTGCGCCAGGGGGCGGCCACCTGGGTACTCCTCAGTCCTCGGCTACGGCTTCCGGGCCGTCCCCGGGCCTCATCCGCCTCCTCTAGATGCTCCGAGAGCCCGGATACTCGCCAAGCCTCAGCTAATCCTTTCGCTTCTCTGCCGGTCCAGGCTACCGGTTCCAGATACTTCCGGGCCTTAGAAGCTTCCTCCAAAGCAAACAATTCCTCCCCGTGTTCAGACACCCCTCGGTCCTCAGTTCTCTCCGACACTAGATCACCCCCAAACCCTTGCGCCTGGCGGACTCCCAAGTGTTCCCACGGGCCTCGAATCCCACCGGAGCGCAGAGTCTCGCCGGCGTGCCGGGCCCCTCTCCTACTGCTCTGTGAATCTAGGGTCTCCCCGGACCCCCAGCCCCTGGTGGAGGCCGACTTCTTCCAGGCCCGACTGCACATCCTCTCCTGCCCCCGTCTCAGCTCCTCCCCGACCTCAGCTACTTTCCCAACCACAACCAGGCTCTTTCTTCCCAGAGGCCCCGTAGCCCCCTCTCAGGTGTCAGCCACTCTGCAGAACCCCCACCCCTTGCCCTGCTTCCTCCCCGGACCCCACCTCTCGCCAATCTCAGGTGCTTTCGGGGGAAACCCAGCTCCTCCACAGAACCCCAGCTTCTCCTCAGGTCTTAGCTTATCCCCAGGACGCGGCTACTCTCTAACCCCGCCCCTGCCCAGGTACTGCTGACCGCACTGACTCCTGCACCCCCCAGCCTCTTCTGGGAGCCCCCTTCTGGACAGCGACGATCCCCCTGAACCCTGGTTCCTCCGTGGGCCCCATTCACTCCATCACTAGCTGTCTCCCACACCAGCGACTGTCTCTGGCTCCCCCACAAACCCGG